TAAAAAAAAAAAAAAAAAAAAAAAAAAACCCAGTTCATGGGTGAAAAACCGTGTAACATAGTAATTTACTAATTCTATTCTGGGCCTTTCTGGCTACCACGTGGTCTGCTGCAAGGATATGGTTGCATGGACTCGATCCCTAGATCTATGGAGTGTGAAGATGCTGCAAGGATATGGTTCTGAAGTGACAGCTTGGACAATCCATAAGGAGGAAAACAACCGCTTTCTTGTGGACAGGGAACCTGGACAGAAAAGAACACAGTGACAGTATTCACAGAGTCAGTTGGGGGATAGTAATGGCCTGGGATGCCACCGGCAAAGAGGATTAGAATAAGTGGCTGAATCTGGATGTGTTGCACACAGACATGCAGGAAAGCAGATCAGTCACAATTTTCTGCACATCTCCACGAACACGTCCAGATTCACAAGCTTATTCCAATCCTCTTTGCCAGTGGGATCTGGCTCAAGTAAAACAAACTGAACATTTTCAAAATGGCCTGTAGATTCCAGAACTTAACCTGTGGTCTTCCAGAAGACTGTTGACATCAACTGGGATTTTAAGCTCAAGCCACCACTTTTTTTATTTTTTTAATTTTATTTTAGTTTTTTAATCTTACCTTTCACAGTTTGGACTTTTTCTCAACTTGGGGTTTATGAGAGAGGGGCTGAGACAGGCGCCTTCATTGTGGGAGGACTGTAGTTGGGGATGGGATTGGCCTGGAGTGCTTTTGCTAGCCCAGTTTGGCTGTGGCATTCATGTGAAGGACGCCGGGCCCGCTCCCTGGTTTTATAAAGAAAGTTTCTTAAACAAAAAAAAGAACTATAGAAAAGAAACACCAGACAGAAATGTCATAAGCTGGCTTCTTCGGGTGAACAGTGCTACGGGACCAAATAGCTGGCGGCGTCAGCCAAAAAAAGGAAAAAAAGAAAAAAAAAAAAGGAAAAGAACCGTCGTGCTGGTGCTTTGGCAAAGCTTGGCGCACAGTTATTTTACGCCTTCAAGTCGGCAAAATGAGACTCGGAGGTTGTGGTGATTGAATGAGTCTCACTTAATTTTTCTGAATGAGCCTCATTAATTCCCCCCCGGAAAGTTGCAGGCCTGGACACTAATTGGGGAGTCCGACTGGGGAACTGTTCTTTCTCTTGTCGTCCAGACTACTGTGTTCACCCGAATACAACGTACAGTCATTACTGCTGTATCTAGACTCAAAGGTGTCCCAAATACAGCTTTATTTAATGAATGTGTACACTACACTCGGGCGAACACAGTTCTGTTTGTAGAGCTTAACTTTTGGTCTTCCACATTACTGTCGACATTAACTGGGATTTGAACCTCAGTAAGGCTCACTTAAAAAAAAAAAAAAAAAAAAAAAAGTTCGTTCTTGAAAGTTCCACACACACCGATAGACTTTTTTTTTTTTTTTTTTTCACACACCTATAGACTAATTGGGGACTTTGGAACATAGACCACCGTGGGCCGTGGGAAAAAATCTGAGTGGAATCGTTTCCAGTCGGATGAATTTGGGCGTTCTCCGTGCGACCCGTTTGTTCAGCCCGAGGAGGGCACGTTAACGACCGCGGCTTTAGGAAGTACTGGTGGTTTTAACGAACATGATCTCAAGACTACTTTCTTCCCCCGAATAAAACGTACGGTTATTAATACTTATTATAGCTGTATTTGTGGTATGGTTCAGTCTGTATACAACTATAATGACCGTACGTGGTATTCAGGTGAAGAAGGTACTGTTTCCGGAACCTAACTTCTTGGTCTGCCACACGACTGGCGACATTAAGTGGGATTTTGGCTTTGAAAGTTCTAGGCCTCGTTCTAGGCCTGTACAGTAGGCGGGGACTGCGGATCTTAACTTTTGATCTTCCACGCTACGGTTACGGATGGTCGTGGCTTGGTTTGGTCCTATATAAACCTTTTGCCAAAAGTAATCTTAAAGCACCAGTAGTACAGTACACCACACATCGGCCCGCGGGTGTCAGCATAAAACCCTCATCACTTCAGAGGCTGCCTTTTTTTTTTTTTTTTTCTCAACGAGGTCCCGCTTTGCGCGGCCCCTCCGTGTTTCGCTCGTGGCGACAAAAAAACTTTCTGGAAGGCTGGGGCCGTGTACTGCCAGGTTTAAAACGCCATGAGCAGCTGGGTGTCGAGGTCCGAAATTGCCCCCCTTGATGTTCAGGGTGAGTAGCGGAATGACCCGGAAGTTTAAGAGGAAGGATGTTTGTGAAAACAGCTGGCTGGTTGGAGATATCGGAAGTGAGAATGCTGACATGAGTAACAAAACATCCGGTGAAAAACATGATCACAGAGAGTTCAAGGGTTTCTGCGTTCAGTCAATCGACGCAGAGAGTGAACAGGTCCCGAAGGATACCCAGAAAGGTGGCGTGGATGGGTAGTAGAAAAAGTGACGATATATCA